AATGGAAGAAATTAAATCAGCCAAGCTGAATAAAAACTACCACATACCAAGATGGAACAACACGCTTCCAGTTCCCCTTTCCCCTGAGTGCGTCATCCCCTCACTTATCACCGTCCCTGGAAAAAGCAGCAGTTGCTTTCACTGAAAGCAAGGTCAGACATTACACACCACCCACTCCAGAACTCAACAGGTAAACATGCCTTTCCAATCACGAAAAGCAGTTACAGCACTTCATGCTCTTCTGCAGCACTTCTCCTGCACACAGACCCCAAGCAGCTCTCCATGGGTGACCTTGCACGCCAGAATCGATTCAAGCCACGTACGGAGCAGCTGCCATTGGGACAGGGTGTTACAAGAGCTCAGAACAACGCCTGACACCCATTTATCCAGGAGGATCCAGTGCGACTTGAGATGCACACGCTATCCTTCACCTCAGGGCATCTGAAATAACCAAACCTGGGTTCTTGCCTGTAGCACCAAAGCTTACGCTGAGGACAGACAGCGCAGAGCATCTTCCTTTGGAGGAGCAACCCCTGGATGCAGCGTCCACCAACCTACCAGAGCAGCTTGCTCCAAGCCCCTGTGTCCAACCTGGCCTTGAGCACTGCCAGGGATGGGGCAGCCACAGCTTCTCTGGGCACCCTGTGCCAGCGCCTCAGCACCCTCACAGGGAAGAGCTTCTGCCTCAGAGCTCATCTCAGTCTCCCCTCTGGCAGGTTAAAGCCATTCCCCTTGGCCTGTCCCTGCAGGCCCTTGTCCAAAGCCCCTCTCCAGACTAAAGCCTTACTGCCACTGGAACAACTCAGCTCTGGGGGAAAGCCAGGAACAACGTCACCATTACTGATTTTCCCTGGGATACATCCAGGAGCATACCCAGCTCATGTGAACACAGGCACGGGATAGCAAGGCCACAGGCTCCCACTGCAGGAACTGCATTTTTCCTACAGCAGCCATGAACAGTACGGTGGTAGAATAATACATAGACGGTGCACTGTCAGACATAGAAGAGACATTTATTTATTCTTGATCACAAACAATGTCCTCCATTGACAAGCTGAATGAAGGGCACTTCACTGATTTATTAGATCTAATAAGAAGCAGACCTCTTGGGATGAAATACAAGATTGATTTTTAGTGGTGAGCCATGCTGCTATCCCAGCCACTGCGCTCAGCCTGATGAGATGAAACCAGGCATGCACAGGGACAGAGAGAGTTGAAACAGCACTGGCTTGGGGAAATAAATGGGAAGATTCGCACGAGGAAGGGAAGGCGAAATGGAAGGAAACAAGGCTCGCAACAGCAGCCCTTCCAACTGAGGGTTACTCTCTTCTTCCTGCAATTTGTCTCTCTCCCACTTAAGTCTATATATCTTAAGAGCAGCAAAAGTTCAAGGGCAACTCCAATATGGATCTTGGGAAACCTCCAAGTCAGCCCCTGCCCATGATCTGCCTTTCAGAGAAGCTCCTCTAAATATAGCAAGCATAATTTCCACATCAGTCTCAACATCCACCAGGCAAACCACATTAGCTGAGTTCCGTGGATGCCGTTTTCCATCAGGAAAAAGACAACTAGCACAGCAGTACTTAGCTTGAGGCCCTATTAATAGCAGTCCTAATTATATGGCTGCAAATTTAATTCATAGCAATGATTAGTGTCAAAATCAAAGGCATCACGCATCAATATTGATGGAATTGTATGAAGCCCATAAACAGAACAAGCAAGCCAACACATCCCCCCCCCAGCAGTTAGTTGCTGTTAACTGTTGCATAAATGTCGCTTCTAATTTCACTCAATGAAAATTGGTTTATTTCAGGAATCCACAGTTCTGAATGATGACAACTCTAACATGATCCCCCTTTCCCTTTCTCCCCCAGCCATGAAGCTGAGGTGCTCTGGAAGGAGGGCTGGACCAAACACTCAGGTTCCCCATAGGAAAGATGCCAAGTTCATTGTCAATCTGCTCTTATTGACCTGTCAGCAGCTCTGGATCAACACCCCTCCAGCACACTGAACTCACAGCCAGGCTGCACGGACTCCATGGATGACCTGCCTGGGCTGCCCACATCACCCCGGCCCCGTGGGGCTCTCAAGGGGTGAGCTCAGCACGGGAAAGCTGCCAGCCATGCCACAGGGCTCTACACTGCTCCCAAGCAAACAGAGAACTTATTCCTTTACCCCTGAGCCAGTGCTGGCTGCTGGAAGGAGCAGAAAAGGGACTTCAAATGTACACAGGAAACAGGAATCCCAGACTGGTTTCGGTTGGAAAGGACCAGAAAGCTCATTCAGCCCCAACCCCTGCCCTGGGCAGGGACCCCTTCCACTGGAGCAGCTTGCTCCAAGCCCCTGTGTCCAACCTGGCCTTGAGCACTGCCAGGGATGGGGCAGCCACAAAAGGAAGGGGTAGAGCTAAACAACTCTGAACAATACTGAAAGGGATGTCTGGGCAGGCAGAGGACTGGGGACATTCAGCACTGAGCTCCTTGAGAGGAGAGGCTGAAGCAGAAGCAGTCAAGTCCCAGCGAGCGTGCAGGAGGCAGTCAGGTGAAGAGCTAATGGGAAGGAGGACATCAGTGAGGTAACAGAGCTTTAGTAATGAATTCTCACTGGGGAAGCACAGACAAATTTGAAAGGTTTCAGAGCTGGCTCCTTGACTCCTTTCCTCCAGCTACACAAAAGCATCTTCTTTAAAACCCCAGTCTGAGCCACCAGCTTGTTTCCAAAGTAAATCAACAGCTGTGGGAGAGGGAATAGGCGTGAGCGCGCTTTCAGACATTAATTGTGCAGGTAGACAAGCAAGGTGGTGAGCTGCAGGAGATAAGGAACCTATCTGCAAATCTCTGGCACTTAGAGGTACCTACATTTTTACCATCCTCCTTTCACATATGGGGAAAAAGATATGGAAACATTTACAGTCCTGAGTACTCCTGACTTTCAGACATGTCTGGTCTTGGAATACGCACAAGAACTGGAGAAAACCTGTTAACTTCCCACTGGGTCTGCAGAGAGAGTCCCAAGTGCCCCATAGCTCAGTGCAAAGCTGCTTCCTGTGGTCTCTCTTAGGCCATGTAAAAGATAATCCCATGCGTCAGATAAGGAAAGATTTATTAAAGGCAAGGACAGGACCACAAGATTACAGAACATCATCATCCTCAGTCCCATGCACTGGAGGATGGCACTCCAGCCAACAATAACACAAGGCATGGGCCTCATCGGCTGCAGGCAGCTCTGATTTTTGCAGGCACCATGAAAGGCTGCCTGTAGTGAGCGCCTGGAATGAATCTGCTATGGGATGAACCAGTTTTCTTAGTGCCTGGTTACTACTGTCTCAAACGGGTAAAGGATCCCAGCAGCCCTAACTCCAGACAGTGAGGTGGAGGGGCATGAACGGATTAACTTTGCATCAGAAAGGTAGGTGCTTCATGCAGAAGAGCCCAAGGAATTAAACCTTCCTGCTGTAACCCTACATAATTCATGGCACAAGACAGTAAATACCTGGTGTGCAGGCACAGGCTGTTTGCTTTAACTGCCTCTAAATAAGGTGCCTACACAATGCCCCCCAAAACACTGCAAACACAAGCACTTGGCTGCAAGTCTGGCTTGAATATGCATTTGCAATACGCTAAGGACGCCTCTTCCATCCATTTAGCTAGAAACATCCCAGTGCTCCCACGTGTGACAGCAGGGGACACAAGCAGGGAGGAGAGAGGGGCTCTGCTTTACAAGCTCACTCTCCCCCATGTTCAAAATTGTCCCACTGATGCTGGAGAGGCACCAGGGAGGCACCTCATTTACTACTACTCAGCACTTGCAAAGTGCTGGATGAATATTAACGAACTGATGTAATTAAAATGATGCAGACATTCAAGTGTAGTATCTGCCTGTCCTTGCATCTTCCTGGATAGATGAGGAAGAAATTCCCTGCTGCTTAAGGACACAAAAAATTAACAGCCTGCTGTGGATTACATTTGTTAACTCTTTCCCTGGTACAAGGCAGCAGGGTCTGCATTTAGCAGGTTCACTTAATGGTGTCATTTCTATTTCAGGGTAATGTGAAGGATCTCAGCTTTCCAGAGCAACACCTCTAAGGCTGGTTTTGCTGGAGCTGACTTCTGCACCCACTGCTGAGATGCAGCTCCCACAAACAGCCTTACACACCTCTGCTTGCAGTCCCCAATGCCATTCCACCCTCATTTTAAACACGGAACTCCTGATGGGGGACTGGTGAGGAGCCCACAAGAGATGCATGACCGAGCCTGACCAGCCTTTGGGCTGCACACACTGCAGAGCTGTTCAGAGGACTCCAAGAGGAGGCAATCCCAGCTGGATTTCAGAATCCTAAAACTCACCATTTCCCCCCCCCCATCCCCTGTGCTGGGGGAGGAAACCAGCAGGAGCATCTCTTTGCCCTGGGCAACTAACCCCGGCTTTGTGATGCACAGGGTGAGGAATGTTATCTTCCAAGACTGATCAATCATCCAACTGTCAAAGGAAGAGTAGGAGGTAAGAGGCAGAGAGAAGCAGTAGGACTTTGCCCCGAGGCTTGGTTTCCAAAAGCAGCCAAGTTAACTCATTCCTATCTCTCCATGGCCAAACATCCTGACACCACCATGGTCTTCTACACAAGGATTACTGGGAAACAGCTCGGAACTACTGTAAGATTTGCATCAGCGTGTCAAAAAGAAGGGAAGATCTGAGACCCTGGACACAGCTTGCTGAGGTTCACTCAGAAATTGCAAACCAGCTCCTCACTTTAATCAGACTGGCCCATTATTGCCCTGATCATTTCTGCAATAGCCCCACAGACACACACCACAGTTCACTGAGCTTTGCTTCACCAATGCAAGGCTCTGTGACCCAAACCCTGTGATTTTTGCTCCTGACTGGCTCCCAGTTTCACACCGGGAAACATCTGTAGGACACAGCAGCAATTACACACCTCGGTCTCCCAAGAAAGATGAAAACTGGACCCTGGCCCTCCAAAGTCATGGAAATAAGCTTACCTTCTTCAGCTTGCCAGTCTTAGTCCCCACGAACACCACGCTGTACCCATTGTAGACATAGGAAGCAACAGAAGTCATCCGGTCCCGGCTGGAGGTGAAGAGCGTGACTCCATCCACGGGCGTGGAGCCTCCCAGGGGCTGGTTGATGTCGAGCCCACAGAAGTTGTCATCGATGGGGACTGGCTGGAAAGACGAGGTTTGGGACAGCCGTGAGTGAAACACAGAGCACCGGGCAGCCCCACACATGCAGACGGGAGCCAGGGGTGCTGACAGCAGGGTGGCAGCCACCAACATGCCACCCCCTGCCCAGGGACCCTGCCAGCTTCAGCTACCTTCCCCAATGGCCAAGGCACTCTGCAGCTGCTCCAAAAGGCGTCTGGACAGGGCTGTGGAGGAGCCCTGAGTCCCACCAGACACTTCCACTCTCTCTGGCATGAAAGGCTCAGCTCCAGGACAGAGATAAACCTTCCCCATGTGACCATGGGGCTGTGGGGAGTGCCAGCCTGCCTGCCCTGGAAAGGCAGATAACCATCCAGGGAATGGGCTCCAGCAACCACCCGAGCACTAAGTGGGAAGAGGCACTCCTGCTCCTTCCACCGCTCCGCTGTGCACTCTCCTACAAACCACCTCTCTGTGCCTCAGTTTCCCTTCTATGACACAGGGAATATGGATGCTGGCTTCTCCCTGGAACACCACTTGCTACAAGCGAGGGAAAAGCCATTCTGCTGACAGCTAAAGTATTATTAAGCCACATCAGCTGGGATTGCTCGAGTGAACTCCTCCATGGCACAGGCAGCAGGGTGGACATGGGTGGCCGCTCACCATCACACTGACTGCAGTCCACTTATTTTCCACAAGGGACATTAACTACCAAATGCTCAGGCACATCTAATTGTAACTGATGGGATGACTCCCCCCCGTGCAAGCCAGCACTCAAGATAATCTTCACCTTCCTTCTTTCATTTCATTTAACCCATGTTTCTCTCTTCTCAGCAGCCAAGCTTACTATGTTTGGCAAAAGAAGGCCCCAGGGATTCCCAAGTCATCCCAGGAACCATCTACAAGTGAATAAAGATTAAAGAACTCAGCTAAATAGAACAGAAAAGATGTCACTGCCATTTGTATTTATCTTGTTAGGTTGCTGATACCACCCTCCTGCTCAGGGACAGGCAAGAGCTTTCCTCTTGCTTACAGAGCTCTGGGTTGGGAACAGCAAACACTTCCAGCAAGCTGCACACGTGTATTCATCTACCTTAGTGCTACGCCTTCTTTTCATTGTCATCAATAACTCTCTGATAAGGCCATGGACTGGGTCTGTTCTATGTTAAGGGAAACTGAGGCATAGAATCATAGCATGGTTTGGGTTGGAAGGGACCTTAAAACACATCCAGTTCCAAACCCCTGCCACAGGCAGTGACACCTTCCACTAGAGCAGGTTGTTCACAGGGAAAAGCTTCTTCCTAAGATCTCATCTCAATTTCCCTTCTGTCAGTTTAAAGCCATTTCCCCTTGTCCTGTCTCTACATGTGATCCTGTTCTGCAAGCTCATGTTCCATAGGGTCACTGATACCAGTTCTCAAAGGCTACCACAGCCAACAGCCAGAGCACCCTTACCGCTTTAGTGCACTGGACATCCTTCCCCAGCAGCCAGTTGAGCTCCAGATTGCCTTCCCCTTGGTAGCAGGACTGGAGGCGGTCCTTGATCTGAGCGTTGATGGTGCGGATGGGGAAGACGCAGAGCGCAGAGTCGTCGGGCGGCTGGTGGTACTGCTTCTGGCCCTTGGAGAAAATGGCAAAGAGGACATCCTCCTGTGCTGTGATGTTGAGGGACCTGGCCAGCACATCCCCTGGCTTGGAGAGGTACGCTGCTTGCAGGAGGCGGTACTCCATGTCTCCCTTGGTGCAGCCAAAGGGCAGAGAGACATAGGAGTGGAACTTGGGGTCGTCTTTGCAGAGACGGACAATGCGAGATGTGTAAAAGAGGTCGCTGGCGGAGTTGATGGAGACACCCTCTGGGGTCTCGGGTTGGACAGTCAGAAAATAGACAAAGTTGCCACTGGCAAAACCATAGATGTAGAAGATGTCAAAGTGCGAAACAAGGGCCAAGGTATCTGAGGGGATTTTGATGAGGGATGAGACAAAGTCACTGTGGAGCTCATAATCCAACATTGCCGACGACTCCGGGTCCCGGGGAAGTTTGCGGCTGGAGAGGGTGGGGAAATAATCCTGCTTCCCATCCACCGCCGTGCCGATGAAGAGCTTCCCATCTTCACCCTCCGAGCGCACAATCACACCATACATGGTGCCCGTCTTGTTGACGCTGGAGAGGTAGTGCTCCTTTTTGTGGGAGGGCTCCACCAAGATGAAGAGGTCATCCAGGCGCAGCAGCTTGCAGACCCCCTGGTAGAGGCTGCCGCAAGCCAGCAGCCGGTTCTCAGAGTAGTCAATGATGAGCAGCTTGTTGACGTTGTTGGTGAGGGTGAGGATCTCGCTGCATGGCTGGACGATGAGGGGGGGGTAGCAGGATTTATTGTCCTCCTCAGGACCAGTTTTATGAGCTACTAAAATGGTCAGGTTACCGGAAAGCTTGTAAACCCTGTTGATAGCTCCAACGTAGACTGCTCCAGTGCCCTGGTGGACTGTTAGGTGGTTGAACGTCCAGTCCCGGTTCTCAGAGTGGAAAGTGCTGAACAAGGCATTGCTGGACACGTTTCGGGAGAGAGATGCCAGGAAGAGACAGAACAAAGCCACCGACCAGCCATCAGAGTCCAGTACCCGAGGCCAGTTCTTCCTCTGATCCATCCTGGGAAAGGCAAACTTTGTGCTCCCTACGTGTGTCCTGTGCCCCAGCAATGTCCCTCACATGGTTCTGAGGAAAGAAAAGAATCACAGAGAGCAGAGGATTAGATCCAGTGTGCCCTGCAGATAAAATTCAAAGGAGATTTTCTAATTACACAGTCCTTCAGATAAAGTGAGGATGTCTCTAAGCCCAACAAAAAATTAAGCAGGTCTCCTAACTTACTGGTAAACAGCCCAGGCTTGATGCTTTGCCACTTGGTTCAGCCTCTGCACATTAATTTGTTGTGTGGGTTAGCTGTTTCTAATGAACACTGCTCAGCCATGGGAGGGGATAATCAGCTTCAGCCCAAGACAAAGCCTGCAGCTCACACACCCAACCATCAATCTGCAATCTTGGCTAAAAGGATGTCTCCTGCAGGGTATGTTGTTGGAAGCAGCAGAGGAAATAAGAGGTGTTTTCTACCTTTGCATCCTCTACGATTTAATTCGGAAACCTGAGGAAGAAGTCTCACGCAGGCAAGTTCACTGAGCACATACACACAAAAGCTGCAAGCATCCCCCCTTCCCAGAGCCAGAAGCAGCTCTGAAGGTGCTTCTCAGGCTTCATGAGGTACTTTGCTGCTGAAAAGCAGCTCCCATTGGGGTGGGAGGCACGTGGTTGGATCAGGAACCCAACACTGCCAAAAGCATGGCGTGCAGGGAAAGCCTGGCTGCCCACCTGGGTGCCTTGGACACATTTCCTGCTCTAACAAAACCTACAAAAAGCAACAGCTTAGGCATGGGGTCCAAAAGACCCAACACCACCCAAATGTCCATATGCTGTTTGAGATAGCTCTGTGGATAACAGGAGTATGCTTTGAGTGATGTGCCCTCACTCATAAAGACAAGGCAAGGTAAGACTTGAGGCAGAGACCTCTTGCCAAAATCTACGTGGAAATAAGGCACAAAACACAGGCAGATTTAGCTGCTCTCTTTGTGCGTGCTCCCACAGCATCAGACCCAAACGACAGCTGGAGCCCCACTGAGGCTGGGTCCCATCCTCCCGGCTCACACGGGTGCTCTCAGCCTGAATCAGGAATCAATCACCAGGCTGGAATTTCCTTAGGAAGCGGGTGCGCGCCTCAGAGACGCTCCAGCTGAGAGAGACGTGGTCACGTCAGAGCTTTCCACCTCGGGCTCCTACAAGGCAGCTGGAATTGATGCCAGTCAAGCGCTCTGCCAGGCAGCAAGGACCCAGCAGAGCTGCTCAGAGGAGCCAGCCTTGAGGCAGGCACCACATAAGGTCCCCGAGAGCATCCCTGCACTGGGGCTCTGCACCCCCCTTGTCATCACAGACAAGACACTGGATTGTGTCTCACCCTTGTTATCACCTCCAGACCTGATGGGACTTGAACCCCTGGCTTGACTTCAGCCTTGCACACCACCAAAGATGCATTTGAGTGTCTGGACTGAAAAAAAAAAAAAAGCCATCACAAAGTTCTCCTTTGTTTCAAATTATGCATTCCTTGCTCCAGCCTGGAGCCAGGAACCATGTCAGCCTGCTGTGGCGAATGATGCTCTCCACCGCCTTACAGCACCACAGAGGCTGAGGATGAGACCCCATTTCACCTGCATTCTCTGCACCAAAGCCCCATCACCTCCCACCACGGCCATGCAAGCCCCACGCACACACACCAGGGAGGTATTTGCCCTCCCTGCTGATGTACCTGGACTCTCCTCCCTTGCCCTGTGTGCAGGTGCAGGAGGCTGCTCCCCAGCACAGCCCGGGCTCTGCTGTCCTCAGGGCTTAGCTGACGCTGATCTCCATTCTGGTATTTCAAACCCCAGCACTGCAAACCTGCACCGAGCTCGTCAGCAAGTGTCACCCAACAGCCGCTCCTCAGGCCTGTTACCGCCGGGAAGCAGAGACGGGTGTTTCTGAGAGGTGACAAAGGAGCTGTGTCCCCGGCTGCACGTCGCCGTGTCACTGACAAGGCAGGAGAAAGAGAGCGGTAATGGGTTTCTGCTTCTGCTCATAGATACAGGTCCCCAGCTGATTGCTTCTTAGTGCCAGTCTCTTAATTTCTACCTTGGGCTGAGGCAGTTTCTCTCTCCGCCAGTGAGGACACAGACCCTGCTGCATGCTTGTCCTTGTTCGGATGGTTGTGGCCAAAAGCAGCTGCCTGTGCTGCAGACCCCAACGTGCCGGGGTGACCTCCCCAGCTCTCCCCATTGAATTCCCAAGTGAACACCCCAAAATTATTATCTGACTCCAGAATCTTCCTACAGAACACAAATCAAATGGTTCTTGAGGATGTGCTCCGAAGAAGGCTCACACACACGAGGGCTGCTGGTGACCCATGGTGGGCACCAACAACCTCATCACAGACAGCAGCTTTGATCTTGGATAACACAGCAGTGCAGCACAAGCCACAGGTCTCACTGGCAGGGAGATGTACCACATCTTGTACCCCACAGGGAACCCTGCACCATGGGAGAGCTCAAGAGGGATCCAGAAAGCTGCGACAGGAGCTGCTGATACAGGAACATCTGAACTGGCGTCAGAGCACCTTCAGATCAACGCACAAGGTCATGGCAGAGCACCTCAACATCAACACGTAAGAAACCTCGAGCACTGTTGTTCCCAAAGCTCAGACATGAAACCCAACTGCCCTGGCCTTGGGGAGGGCATGGAGGTGATGGCTACAGCACCACAGGGTACAGAGAAGACAGGCTCTGCCCTCGGCAGCACAAATGGGCTCTCCTCCGAGGCCAAAACATCCCTCATAACACAAGTCCCAAAAGAAAGCATCCCACCGTTTCTCATTCCTTAGGAAGAGATGCTTCTGGGGCAGAGGGCTCTGATTCCAGAGAAGCCCAGAAAGCAAAAGAGATTCAGCAGGGAACAAGGAGGCTCTGCTGTACAGCTCCACACACACCAGTTTTCCTGCTCGGCAGCTTTCCAATATTTAAAATGTTGTTCCATTACAAAGTGAGAAAAGAACAGGGCAAGCTAGAAATTAATACATTTAAATAATTGAAGGTGATATACATATGGGCCAACAGAAGCTCTTCACGTAGGCCACAGCAGTTTTATATCCCTCCCAGCAACGTTTTCATTCAGGAACAGTATAAAAGCCAGAGCCAGGCTGGGGCTGTGGGTGCAGCAGAGCTGTCAGTGAAGCCCCGCTCCTATGCGGTGCCTTGCAGAGAAGGTTTTGCAGAGTAATTGTGAACAGTCACTGCCAAAGGCAGGAGAGATCATCCAGGAAGAGGAACCTGCACTTTCAAACATCATTTGAAGACAACAGAGCACGGCCATGAGCTGACATCCTACATGAACAAGCCAGGGGGAAATGATCCATCCCTGACTCCAGGTCACCCACTGCAGGAGCTGCTCCTACCAGGTCCCCACTAGACCCAGAGCTGGGGCAACATGTGGGTGAAGAATACAGATGAAGCAGCGTGAGCAGCAGGTTGAGGGCTTTAACCTGCCAGAGGGGAGACTGAGCTGAGCTCTTAGGCAGAAGCTCTTCCCTGTGAGGGTGCTGAGGCGCTGGCACAGGGTGCCCAGAGAAGCTGTGGCTGCCCCATCCCTGGCAGTGCTCAAGGCCAGGTTGGACACAGGGGCTTGGAGCAAGCTGCTCCAGTGGAAGGGGTCCCTGCCCGTGGCAGGGGTTGGAGCTGCAGGAACTTTAAGCTCCCTTCCAACCCCAAACCATCTGATTCATTCTATGATAGACATCAACCATCAGCATAAACCCACTGCGTGCCCTGCAGAGGAGTTTGGGGATGGCTGGGTGCAGCTGGGGAGTTAAACACCAGGCAAACAGGAGAGGAGGCAATTTTAACTCTGATGCTTAATACTATTTGACCATTAATTCTTCTTTTTTCTTTTTTTTTGGAAGCCAGTTTAAAATATGGCCTTCAAAGCAACCTAAAGCTATTAGTAACACAAGGTGAAAGAGAGAGTAAATTCAGGGACACAATATAAACCCAAGCAGCTGAAAGGCCTCAATTAAGCTGAAAGGAGTTATCTGGTATTTAAATAATTATTAGATTGAAGGAATAATCACAGCTCTGAGCTGATTTTTTTCCCCCACTGTCATCCTAATGGAGGCTATAATATTATTATTCAAATGCCCATGATTCTCATTGAGGGGGGATGAAAAAAGGGCTCATTTAATCTCCATGCGACAGGGCTTCAGGAGGCCCGATTAGTCATTTCTCTTATTTCAGCTGTCACTCACTCCCAGGCACCACAGTTTGTCATTAGTGGCATTTTATGCACATACACACACACACAAATGAAGGAAAATTAAAGCAAAAGCAAAAAAAGACTCTCCTGTGGAAGATGATGGATCAAAGGGACAAGTTTTGTCACCCATGTGGCACCTGCATTTGCTTCTTGCCCTGGGGTCCTTTCTTTTGGGGTACAGTTGGTCTCATGAGCAGTGATTCATACATTGCCTCCCATCCCTCATCACTCGCCTCTGCCCTCCTGGGACACTCCATCCCCTTTGGAAGTGGGGCTTCCTGCAGCCCCGGCATCTCCGAGACACAGCAAATGCATCTGCACCCACCTGAGCATCTTCACTTCTCCCTCCCAGCATCCCAGTGCCACGTGCTTCTCCTGGGATGTCCCTGCATTGTTCCCAGCCCAGAGGCCACCAGGGTCACCAACCACGAGACACGGTGAGGGCAGAGAAGGCAATAATATCCACCAGGCTTGTTTTGCCCTAAGGCCATAGGGGTCTGGGGATCTGCCTCACACAATGAAGCCTCCTGAGCAAGAACTGAGCCTGCAGGGAGTGGGACAACGGGCCCGTGACTGCTTCCTAATGGGGAGATAGATCCTGTCCCTGGCTCCGCAGGGCTGTGCTGGCAGCCGCAGGCAGGAACCCGCTCCCCCAGAGCTGTTTATTCACAGGGATGGTATTTCACAACCTCGTCAGCTTTCTGAGAAAGAGTTAAGAGGGCAAAATACAGCATTGTGATTATTACTTCCTCCAGGCCTGGGACAAGGAAGAGGAGGGGAAGAACAAAACCCAGCCATGAAAAGGCATTTCCCTGATAACAAACACGATTGCC